ATGTAACAGCTAACTTCTGCTCTCACTGGTTTGTGGAAAAAATATGCTCATTTTCAAGTAAATGTCTTCTGATTACAAAATTAAAATTAAACATCATACAACAATTGATATTTCATCCCTTTATATGACGTAAATAAATCAGGATAAAGCATTATTTTGTCAAGATTTATTCTTACACAAAAGCTTCCGACTTTTTGTTGGTGAACTACCTATAATGTTGCGTTATTCTAAGAAGCTGGATTATATAATGTATTCTTTTGTTTAATCAACTGATTCGCTATTTACCATTAATGTAAGTGAACAATAAATTACAATATATAGTATAGTCCTTTGGAAATTTAAGTTTGCATACCCTAACATCACTGTCAAACATGCAAATATAGTTATTCGAACAGCAAAGAACTTCAGGTTCGATTGAGATAATTAAAACCAGTTAAATTATGAAGACCTAAATATCTGAATTACTAAATCCGAATATTTTAACGGCGAAGAATAATAATCAAGATGATATGCACACAGCATCCTTCCAGTAAAATTCGTTTGATTACTAAACACTGTGGTACAAAATTTAGAGGGATATGATCAAATTGAATTCCAGACATAATCAACAGAACCAAAAGTACATTACACAGCAATCAACCAATCATTTTTTATTAGCAAATCACTAAGAAGTGTGGAATGTAAAAGCATAGCATGGTGTATATTTTACTCAAAAAATAGGCCTTAAAATTTTGGATTCCCTGAACTGTTATTAATTTAGTGGTAAACTATGACTGTAACAGTTTTCAACCGTATTCATTCTGTTAATTTGCATATACAGACACCCAAGTTGAATTGAAAATCTTGCTAGCATAGACTAAACTCCAGTAAGCAGTATACATTCGGTTGTTCAGCAAGAGTATGAAAATAAACAGTGGGAACGCTAATCGAATAAAGCATTACTGAAGAAATAGTTTTTGGACAGTAATAAAATGCCGGTGTTCGTACACGAGACCGAGGGTCATGGATTCGAGTTCCATATGCGGAGTCATGGTTGCGCACTACTGAAAAGTCCCATACTAGTAAGAAACAGCCGTCCAGTACTTCCGGGTTTTCGATGGTGGTCTAACATTGATCTATTCATGTTATTAAGATAAACCCAACAATTTGCACAAGTCTATACTGATAATAATAAAATGCCTGAATCCTCTGGTGATTATTTAGCAAAAATGAGAACAAGCATAATTAGTGTGAAAAAGTATAACCAATAACAGATAAGAGGTTTTGACATAAACTCTCTATTTACTAAAACAAAAACCATCGTTAAACAATGTATATCAATTTATTCGTTGTCTTTATTCATCCAATAACAGCTTAAAATTAATAGTAGAAGTTGCATGAAAAGAATTATTCAAAGTTAATAATGACATAGACTGATAGAGGATCACTGATATAGACAAAAAGAAAACAGTTATCACAGTTATACAATTTCAATTGCAACTAGTTAAGGACCCTTTTAGTTTTTGTTACTCCTTATTTAGAATTCGATCATATTGTTTGAGGTAGTTTTTTCATTGTAAATAATTATTTATCTAAAAAAGGAAAATCCTTTGTCTTTATAGGTTTCTTAGTTAGCTTTTCCAGAATATTAAAATACTACTAACCAATAATAATTCTTCATTACTGTCTCAATTATTCTCAATTGATGTTTGTAAACTTGATTTATACATTCATATAAACACATAAACAGTCCTTTACCAAGTTCTTAATACTAACGTTCGAACTTATACTCACCTAAATAGAATCCAAGAAACAAATGAATTAATGTTATTGGGTAACAATACATTTCTTTGATACACTGAATACATTTTGTATGATAGTGGTTGTTTTATTATGGAATTTAATAAATAATAACTTACCATACTTTTCAATCCTCTGTTAAAATCCCAGTTTATGGAGAAAAATAGTTATTTTTTTGTCTTTAAAATAGTTTAATATGGAGGCCAAAGACCTATCATCCAAATCATTAAATTGATTACAACATTCTATCAGAATAAACCAAAGTAAGTTGATGTGGTTTACCAAGTAAACGCTATTAGTAAAATATTTTTTATAAATATCTTTCTTGACAAGCTTTTTTTTATCCATAATGATTGATTTTCAGTATAATATATCAGTGACCTATAAATATGTGCGAAATTCACTTGTATGTAGATTGTTGATAATTAGAATAGATGGCTATGATTACTGAAATACTGACAGAATAATGTGCCCATTATGTGGATCTATATACTCTATCTTTGCAAAATGACAGTCTGAAGTAGTGGCTTTGCTTCGTTAATCAATAACCATTGTAACCGTTTTTGTATGTGTGAATTCAGAAGATAAGAAGAGGAAAAAACTACAGTTTCTTAGCGGATAGCACTGATCACAATTTTATAAGTACATCAGGTGAATTTGAAGCTGAAAAGCGAATGTGTGTGAGCAAATACAGAGGCAAATGTATGGTCAAATCAAATAATAAGCAGCTAGGCAAAGCAAAGGCTAATAATAGGATTTCAGTACATATATACATGGGAAACAGAGTGAATCATCGAGTGATATTTAAACTATCAACATTTTAGCTACAGCCTGTCATGTGATTAAGCGTACGCGTTTATACAGATATGATAGTGATCATAATAGTACAAAAAACATGCAAACTGTTAATTTTCTTATAACATTATCTGGTAAGTAAGTTAATAAAAAGACCATAATCGAAATTGATTGTAGGAGAGTTGCCATAAGTTCATATTTCTAAAAGAATGTATGTAAAGTTCACAATAGTTTTATACGTATGTATCAGTCACCCTTATACGCATTTAAAAGAATGTAAAATGATTCAAAATTTTGTATAATACTTAATAGTTATACTGTATTAGATTCTTTTTTCCTATAGTGTTTAGTCACTAATGTACTATAAACCTATCTTCGCATTCTGAGGTTTCGACTTCTTAAATTACACACAAATAACTAAAAGTTTACATGGCGCTGTTCTTGGTTCAGATTTTTTTTCAAAATTTAGAGTAGTTTAAATTAACGGATTATGGAAAATATGAAATAGCGTCTATTGTGTTTTATTTTTTATGGTCTTTAATCCGTTAACTTACTTTGAATTATTGATAATAATGTTATGCGAATTGGGGTAACTTAAAAATATCTTAAATACACGCTTACTTACTACTGTTACTCCCAATGAAGCATAGGTCGCCGACCAGCATTCTCCAGCCCACATTGTCCTAGGTCTTCTTTCCTAGTTCTATCGAATTGTTGTTCATTCTTTTCTTATCTGTCTCCATTTCTCGGCATAATGTGTTCTTTGGTATTCTTCTCCTTTGGCCTTGAGGATTCCAAGTGAGAGCATGCCTTGTGACGCAGTTGTGTGCTTTCCTCAATATATGTCCTATCCACTTGCAGCGCTTTTTCCTGATTTCTTCCTCCACTGGAATATGGTTTGTTCTCTCCCGTAGTAGGTTGTTGCTTATAGTGTCTGAGCAACGGATCTGAAGTATTTTGTATAAACAACTGTTAATAAACTCTTGTATCTTTTGGAACATGGCTTTTGTAATTCTTCTTCCCCATATTTTGATGTATTACTGAAAAAGATTTAATTTTACATATGATTCATCTTGAAATCAACTTTCATGATAACATTTTAATTTTTTTTTGTTTTTACGAATATACATCAATTGTATACACAACATATATTGAAATGTCAAGAGCTCAATGAATATTACAACTACATGTCATCAGAATTTATCCCTTATTTCCTATAACTTTGAATTTATGGAGAGAGAGAGAAAAAAACTCCTCTTTCTTGTAAAGACAACATAAAGAATTTCTTGAGAGACTGAAAGAATATATATATATATATATATATATATATATATATATATATATATATATATATATATAACTTACTATTATGGATTTGAATACAACTAATTTATAAATAGTTCTTTTTGATTTTCGAAACAAGGTCATAAAATAGAAGTAATAAAAATATGAATCTGGGTATTTTTGTTAATGTACTTATATTTACGAAAAGACAATACTTTATTTCATTATTCGTTAACTTAATTGAAAAAAAGCTTTGTAATAACAGTTAAACAACATAGTTATATTTAATGAGATAGAAGCAAATATATTTAGCTAAAATCAATATATTATATCTTATTACTGTTTTTAATGTACTCAATGGAGATGAAATACATACTTTACAGATAATTGTGATAATACTTTCAAATGTTTACAGTTCATGTAAATTAGGATTTTTATCAGATTACTTATAAAAGTAATTCCCTAAATGTTATTAAACATAAAAATTTTCTAAACTTAGTAACTAGTGAGGAGCATTCATATTTACGTTTGTTGATACTCGTTTACAAGAAAGAAACATAAAGAGAATGACTTGAAGCTCTTCAATGAACATTGAAGTTTTAGAGACCGACAGTTCAATTCAATGTTAAAAAATATTAATCACTTCAGTTCATTATATTGAGTTTATAATTCTCTTGATACCTAGTAGTCATAGCTAAAAGGACACTTAGTATATATTGTTTGTTTTATTAAAATAACAACATAGAATGTGAAAAACTACTTCTTATCGGGTAAAAATGTTTTGCATTTTATTGATTTTTTAATGTTTTAAACACAGTGCATAAATCTCTTTATACTATGACATGTCAACAAGAGTTCAAATTAGAATCACTTTCAAATTATGTTTTTCTAAATAGATCTACCAACGATGACCTTAGTTGATGAAATTCTTGACCACAGATTCAGATTTAAAACTATCTGAATGATTTTATTAAAGAAGTTCAGTTTACTAATAATAAAACATTAATATTAGACGTGTTTTGGGATATTTTCTCTGAAACGTCTATGATTGGTTCATTATCAACCAATCATAACAAATAGTATTTAGTAACTTGCCAAAGCGACAGCTATTCAAAGGTTTGTTTAGCATCGTTTCCTCGAAATCCAAATTTATTATTCTATTATGAATAAAATACATTGAGCATCTCGTAAGAATGGAATTAAACAATGAAACTAATTTTTTGAGCTCCAAGGATATGAGTACGGAAGATTTATTAAAACTTTTATCGAACTGTGCTGAACTGATCGAATTACCAAATAATAATACATATTTCATTCAAGACATTGGAAGTATGCCAGGTCTCTTCAAACCAAATTGGGTTGTTCTATATAATGTAGCATTTGATGTATTCTTGGTTGGTTGTATACTACTTGCTGGGATTACCGGCAATGTTTTAAGTGGATTCGTTCTAGCACGTGACAGATCTCACGGAACAACTAGTTTAATATTAACAAGTTTAGCCGTATTTGATACAGCATTTCTAATATTATGCTTTTTTTTCCAATTTCTGAAAACATTGTCATTCTATATTTTATGGTTGTCATACATAAACTTTTATGCTCATACAAGTAAAATATTGTATGGATCTGGGATGGCGGTAAGAATGATGAGAAATTGGACTGTTGTTCTAGTATCATTAGAGCGTTGGGTAGCTGTATGTAAACCACTTCATGCACCTAGTATATGCACACGGAAAAAAGCGCATATTGCTATAACACTCATTGTTATATTATCATCGCTTTACAATATTCCACATTTTTTTATTGTTGATGCAATGCCATTATTGTGTTACTCTAATGAAGACAACAAAACAAATATTCTACATTCTGGTTATTATAACTTTACGGAATTACCTAAAGGTATTCTCATATATCATAGTGCTATACGGTCATGGGTGAATAATAACTATGCCTTCAGATTAATTTATCGTCTAATCAGTTATACAATTTTAATTGTTATTCTACCTAATGTTATCATTGCCATTTTTAATGTGCTACTTATTCGTGGAATTAAGTTTGCGAATCAGAGGAGAGCACAAATTATTGCTAGAATAGATTGCGCTAACAGACAGTTTGAACAATGTAGTTATCATTCTCTTCACAGAGACTATCATCAACATCCTCAAAAACAGCATCCATCACATCATCATACTATCCCAAAATGTTGCCATGGAGCACCAAGTTCTTCAGATAATCATGCTTATTTTGTGCGTGTTACAAAATCTAATCGTTCTCGTACAATGGAAGTAAATCGTTTATGTGTTGGAGTAATTATAATATATTTAGTGTGTGAATTACCAGCTGTTGGATACCAAATTATTTATCTGATTAATCATCGAAGTTTAATCGAAATTATTCGTCCAGTTACAAATGCCTTAGTATGTTTAAATAGTGGTGTAAACTTTTTTGTCTACGTTTTTCTTGGAAGACGATTCCGTTCACAGTTAAAAGACTTATTTAGAAATTTAATCAATAAATGTGGAATACATAGTAATCAACGAAAAACCACCAATCCATCTACTCATTATATGAATTCATGGCATTCACGACATGATATTGCATCGATGGATAAAGAAAGTGAACAACTATTAATGAAAGAAAATAAATCTACAGGACAAATAATGAAATCAGATTTGAAACCAGCTACTACACGTCTCAGTTTAAGTGCAGCTTATACACAAACTTCTGTTATGGAAACATAAACTGATAAATGTATACGTAACTAAATATTGTACAGTTTCACATAAAATTGACAAGCAATTAACTATTCCATAACATTAAAAATAAAGAGAGATAATTTGTGATGGAATTCATAGATACTATTTTTTACATTTCACACAAATGAATTACATTATTAAATTAATTATCATTTCAATTTAAATCAATTGTACAGACAATAATAATTATTTTGATAGGTAAACAAAATTAACCAATGTGTACAAAACACTTAAAGGTTTGTGTTTAAAAAACAAAACAACAACAGTTGGTAAGATTTAAATATATATTGTTACTGACTAGGATACTTGTATTAATGATGATAAAATTGCTTAGATTTTGAAAGTGTAGAATAACAACATTATAGAATAATAATAATTTATTATATTATTCTGTACTTTTCACCTTGATATTGAAAATGTATATTACTGAATATACTTTTTAAAAGATCATCATTTTTATTAGTAGTTTTTATTTGGTGTTTTTTTAATGACTAGCTGCATTACAAATGTAACTTAAAATTGTCAATAAATTACTAAATATTTTTTTATGCTTCTGTATGCCTAAGGAATATTAGTGAAAGAGTTTTGAAATTATATTTCTGAATGATGAGCGAAGAGTTTACTTTATAATTTTAATGTGACGTTTAAGTAATAAATATATATCTATCTATAATAAACTAATTTCTTCGTTTAAATGACCCATCAAAGATATTGAGGATCATGTATATTACATTTCAAAACGAGTGTATTATGGAAGCGTAAATATAGGGATCCCATATTTCAGAAGTTCAGAATTAATGGTCTATATTTAAGGGGAATAAAGTTCAATATTATTCTGAGTGACTGTGAGAAATTATCAAAATATTAGCTTCGTACTAATGAAAACAACTCAAGAGGTATATTTTTCGTCAATGTCAAAACTAGCATATCACTATTGACAAACGAAACGGGGTAGGGGAAATACTGAGTCAACAAAACCATTAGTTTAAGTTTATCACCTGTAAAATACATTGTAATCAACTTGAAACCTGATTCACTTTTATCGATGGAAGTTTATTGAAGAAGCAAAAATTTGATAACACCATATTTCAGAAAAAATAATAAAAGATATGTAATCAATTATTAGCACCTACTACTTCAAAACTTGGAGTAAATGGAGCTTGGCTTGAGAATGATACTAATAAAATTTATGCATAATAGTTGTGTTAAATCTAGATATGAGAAACTCTCAGACATCAAAACTAACGTTTCAAATTATTTGAATGAAACAAGGTAATCTAAATATCTTTTGTTGATCAAATGGTGAAGAAATTCGTCATCCTTTTTCCGTTCAAAAACATTCTCAACGTTGTTCAGGTTATTTTAGTGGTTTCATATATATTAATTTTAATTCATGTATGTTGGGTACATGGAACTTCGGTTTGATTTTTAGGACTGCAATGGATTTATTCACACAAATCACGTTTTACTTAAAACATTCTATATTATGTTTCCGACGTTCACTCTAAAGGAAACACTGAATATAATTAAACGTTGATATAGTGCAAACGTGCATCGATCTCAATTGTTTTTTATAATTCTATAATGTTTTCGAAAGAAGCTTGATGAAATGTTCGATTTATCAAAATATAAAACGTTTCTGCTATAATAGGTAATGATGTAATCTATGCTATAAATGACGCACAAATTTCCGTGATCAGTTTTTTTTTTTCACATATGGATACAAATATTACTATATACTAAAACAGTCTGGTTAGGTTTTGATTGAAGATAACATTTCTCGTCTATATGTGCTGAAGTGTGTTTATTAACCTCAGTATAATGGATTGATTTATCGATCGCATAGGGATTTACTACATACTATTCATGGGGTAGATAAGGGTTGTTTTACTATGTACAACGGACTGATAAATATGTTTTCTATATTGTTTTATAGCAATTATATAGTCTTTTAGTCTTGTGTCTTACATCTCGCTATATATTACCTACTGTTAACATCAGTGTTTTTGAAGCAGTCAGACCATGATAAGACTTCTCTTCAAATGGTATATATTACACTCATTTATTTGGTTTTACAATAATGATGGGATTAAAACCTAAGTTTAAATTTAGTTCTAACAAAAAATAACTTTGTGATGCTCACATTTCCCACTATTCTTTCTAGTAACGTACGAAGATAACTCAAATGTTTATCTACATAGGAATCTGAGTATGACTGTCCTACTCAAAGGAAAAGTTGCAATTGAAATAGTAATACTATAAATATGTGTTACATCAGAGAAACCTTCAAAATAGAACTTTTTAAGTTTGTATTTTTTGCAGTCATTTTTTGTCAATCATTGTCTAATTTATTGATATTCTTTTTCTACTGTAGTATTGAGTGTTCTTTATCATTCTTAGCTAATTCAACAGTTGAATGAGAACTACTATGTTCATTTACCTCAGAAATGTCCTATTATCACTGCTCATTCACTTTATTGATTTCTTTGAAGTTCAATGTTATGTTACGTCATAAGTTCATGGATGTTATAAACCACTGGAAAAAAATGTTTCTCAACAAAATCTCAAGATTGCAACTTGATTCAAGTCTATTTTGAGATTCAAAAATGATGAAATTCAAATGAGATATTAATGATAATTATTTAAAAAACTTTATTTACTTTGAACTTTGAAAAATACATTATATGCAGTTTCCATGTCAAGTAGTGTGTATCCCAAAAAATGCAATGTTTATAAATTTGAAATTATGTATATAGAATATTGAGTTAGGAATAAGGATCTGGCGGCTCCCTGGTCCTTACATCTAGATATTTCAATAAGTTATCTGTCCTTTGTTTGTTTCAACAGATCATTACGTCAACTAATCGCACAACATATCCAGGTGAGTTTGTGCAATGTTCACAATCAAAGACATTGTGGTTGCTGGCAATATGCATCGAAAAGAATGTACATTATTATTCGATTTCTGAACCGCTAACATCTAATTAGCTATCACTCAATGTCTATCGTCAGAATCGTTCAACAAATGAGAAACGGAAATTTTTTGGAATAGTTTGTAACAAAAATATAATATTAAATAAAGCTAATAGTAATAATAATAGTAGTGATTATGTTACAATGTATTACACCTACACACTTTCGAATAATAATTATTAAGGATGGTTTTATAAGAAAAACATTTTTAATATCTCCACTGATCAAATTTCTGAATAGATATCATTTCTATGATTTAGGTTGATCCTTCCGTATCTCAGATTATCTTAATGATCTAGAAGCTATAAATAAAATAAGGTAGTGATCATTATGTTATCAACAATATTAAAGTTGTTCCTACATTTTTATAAATCCTAAATTCACATTTACTGGTTTACTGTTGGTGTTCACTCAGTTTATTCACTCTTTTTTTTGTTTTAACACTACACAATTTTAATTTCAGTTTTATCTTCAGGAATAGAACTTGATAAGATGGTATATTAAAATAGATTGTACGGATTATGCCAATTAACTATTGTCCTTCTTTGAAAACTAATATTTTCCAAACTCATTGAATTATTGAGTAGTCAGTGGAATCTCTAACCTCTTAAGTTCAGTCTTCTCTCCATTTTAAGTTTCTTCAGGTAACATCCACCATCAGAACTACATAACCGTATGGGTTGAAGGGCAAACTGTTTAACTGTATTTTACTCACGAACAATCATACACTAAACTCATAATAGATCAAGTAATTAAGTGTTAACTACAAAGCAATTAGGTTCAAACTGTACTTGCTGTTTACCCTGACCTACAGTTGAAGCATTGCAGATGAGTTTATTCTAAAGACTGCTGTACAACTTGCTGTAGTAATGCAACATATTAAAAAGTATTTTGAATAAATGTTTTCACTATACCAAACAAAATATTTGTTAACATAACGCCAACTTATATATACTATTTTACAATATATCTGTAGTGAAAATAAGTAACATTATTTAGAAGTTATTTTGCGATAAATACAGATTGGTATCCTTTCACATTATCTAATGTAGTGATAAGTAATGAGCTATAAGCATTCCAAATTTTTATAAAGAACAGACACTTATCAATAAGGATCTTTTAAGAGTCTTTACTACTCAGAAGTATTACCTTATGAAAAATTGGAAAAGTCAATAAATTTATCATTCTACTACAAAAATGGATCATAAAAACAAATTTAAATGAATGGATATTAAGAAAAACAAGATCATTTTCAAAATAAACTGACTAGTCGCTAATACCTCTGTGTCAAAATCTTGACTCGTGACATATTAAATTCAGTCAATCGTGAAAATCGGTGCTAAACGTTCATCTCATCTAATTTATCCAATAAGAAACAACATGGTATATTGTAGGGATGTGCCACAAAAGTACAAACCTAAGCAAAAAATGACAGATTGCGGTCATAAACACAAAAACAATGTCTGCTCAATATTATTTGAAACTGTGAGTAGTCACTGGCATGAGAAAAAATAGTAAACAATCATTAAACTATAGTTTATTATTATTACTAAATAAACTTAAGTCAGCTTATTGTTTTACTAAACACTTAATCTTTTGTAAGCAGGAAGTCGTTAATAAATGTTAATGAAAAAATATAAAATCGGAAGTTAGTGGTTTTTGTAACACCTTATAGTTCAGTTTCGTGTGAAGACATAATTTCAGAAAAAAGTTGTCCTTATAAAATTTACATGTTCAAAAATACTTAAGACATGATCATGTAAGTAAAACTTAGAAAATATGAGGTAAGAAACAGATGTCTTTTTAAATTATAAATAAAGATGGATGATGGCTAGTAACAGAATCCAGGGCGCACGTTTCGTCCTCTTAGAGACTTGGCACCTGGATGTACCTAAATCCCAGAGTTCATCTTCACTCCGGGACTCGAACCCAGTATCCTCACATGATATATATATATATATATATATATATATATATATATATATATATATCTGCCAATAAGAGACCAATCAGTTACAGTCCTAAACATGAGTGAGAAAATCCAAAACAACAATACAAAATGAGTTTTTTTAATGTTGATAAGGTTAACTAAATATAATTTAGAAGAAAATCAAGTTTCAAGCATTATATAAAGATATGAGATATTTTATTTGTAGCATTTATTTATAAACAATGCATATACAATATTCAGTTACAAATGTACATTGAAGTTTATTAGTTTAAGGATTCATTGCATTGGAAAATAGTGTGTTACGAATCAGTTAGTTTGTGTTCACATACAACACGATAAAGTAAAACAGAATGTTGCATAAATCCAAATTAGAAATAAATTCGAATGATATTAATCTCAAGAGAAATATTTTGAAAAAAACAACCAAATGGAATGAAGTGCGACAAAACTTTCATTTTTGAAGCTTTCTCTTTAAAAGTTAAAACAATCTTGATTAACCATCAATAGATACTTGACTTTCACTTAGTTATAAGCATTTTTTAACAATTATTGCATTTTATTATCTTCAAATAGTCTTAAACTGTGTCGCATTAAATTCCCTAAACGAGTGTATTTTTAAAAAAAGTAAGATTCTAGTTCATTTCGTGATTAATAGTCATGGTTCATGATCAATATTAACTGAAATACATCTCGGAAATAAAGCTATTTACATTCAATATTTGCCGTTAGTTATAAAATGAATGCAA